ACACAAAAATAGCAACACGACAAAATACATACGACGAAGAACATAACAATGTAGACATAACGCCAACGGCACCACAATTACCAGCCCTACCAAATAACCATCCGCTATCCCTAGTCCCACGAAATTTTCGAAATTTAGCCATCACACATAATCCAAATTTTCGACTCACCACATCACAAAGTCCCATCCAACATATAATGACACACCAGTCACAAGATGATAATACTTATGAACAAATTATTGAACAACCCCATACCACCGCTTTTCAGTCTCAAAATAATCATTTTTTTAGCCCACGATGAGCCGCCAACTTGGATCACTACACCGATCAAATTCCCACCCAACCAATCTTACCTCTCCAATCCCAATAATACCACTTTTTGCTTTTCCGCCACCCGATTTTCCATCTAGTAATGTAACATCAGGCATGAATCCCGACACTAATTCACACATCTCAGTTTTATATTCCATCTCACAACTCAATAACCCGAATATTGAAACCCCCGATGAATTTGCCGACTCAGAACCATCCCCATCCAATAATTTTCATAACTCTTCTAATTTTTCTCAACCCCCTTTTCAACCCATATTATCCAATAACCCTGACCCAATCACTCCCACACCCTCTTATGCTTCCCAAGTTACCCCAACCTACTCCTCATACCATTCTGACCAATCATCTCATTCTCCAGACACCCCCCGAATCTCCCCAGAGCTAGATAATTTTATTACCCTTCAACAACAACCCTACCACCTTAATACTCCAACCATAAACCAAATCTCCTCCACAATAAATTCATCCAACCCCCCTACCCCTACACCCTCTTCAAATTATACTGAATCATTAGCACCATCATCCACATCAACTGAATCTTCACTCAACACTAATAGAGCTTACCGCACTTTTAAAAGAAAGTTCCCCAACCATCCTTTCCCAGCAAAACCAGGAACAGCCCGTGAATACATCAACCACCCCAAGCATACTAACACAAAAGAATTTTTAGCCATCACCTTACCCTCATTCCCACAATACACCTTAAACACCCCCCACGACACTAACGAAACACGCAACTTTGTAGATGAATACGTTTTAATGCCCACTCTCTCTTGGACCTCATATTATCATTTTACTAACCCTCTTTGCCTACCTTTATCTAACACTCACATCGATATAGAGCGAAATACGGACATGCTATATCGACTCACTACACCACTAACCGCTAGACAATTTACTTACGTTGGATATAAAAAATCACTAAAAACACACACTGCACCTAGAGCTAACGAATATACACTCGAATACTATGATCACAACATCATCAGAGCTAACCAAGATCAATTCTTAGACGACGATCGCTTCGCTAATCCGCAAATTACCGAGAAATTTTTCATCAAGACACCATATATATTTACACTAAACATCTTCGATAGAAAGTTTGATCACATTATTTCAGAAGCACTAATAGACACACAAGCATACGAAAGTTTCAAAGAACGCTTCCAAATATTTTCACTAACATTTCATTTCCTTGCACCACACGAAAGAGATTTACACTGCTCACACGATATTATGTTGCGCACTAAACAAACCCACACATATAGTTATTATCGCTTCATCCAAAATCACTTTGACCTACACACACCCTCTAGACAACCACACCATCGTTTTCAATTCATTAATTCCAAATACACTTCACCATTTTTCCTAAATTTCACATATTGCATTAAAGATACTAACCTTCATGGTATTCTTCGTAATTATGACCCCATAACCCAAATGTACATCTTCTGTCCCATCACCAAGACCTTCAACGCCGAAGAATCCCGACCCTTCCTTATCCCGCACGAGTTTGTACAACCTATAGAAATCCCAATTTTAGAATTCATTCACAACACTAAATTCAATCACAAATTATATAATCTAATCCAAAACACACCTTATGAGTTTGCAGTTGGCACTGAAGAACTAACCACTATCAAGGCACTTCAATTGCTTTGGCCACTGCTTCAGACTAAAAATATCATCCGCATCTTAGCTAAACTACTAACAACTTCAGAACTAATTCACGACATCTTCCCCCACGGTTTTTTCCCCGACGACTAACAGGTAAGTATGAATTAAATGAATATTACTAACTAATTAAAATATTAAAAACTCACCATTCTTTATCCATGTTTTCTTTAGATTTTTAGTCTTCATCCGACGATCACCTACAAAAACCACAAAAAACAAATAAAGATCGCAAATTTCATCAAACAGATTTCAACAATTCTATTAATCTCTTACACTTATAAATTTATAAATTTAATACCAATGCAGTAAATTCATTTCTAAAATTTTCCCCACAAGCAGTAAATCTAATTATGATGAAAATTTGTAACTTAAAATTCCCCCATAACTAGCAGTAAATTTCCAAATTCTATGCAGTAAATTAATGAAATGCAAATGCAGTACTAACCTTTTGATATTTTCATTCATTCGCACAGAAATTCTATCCACACTCGCACAGCTCGCCCACGAAGAATTGTTTAAAATAATGAATTTCAGTTTCAAGTTTTCACACTCAACAACTCTAACATATAACAACATGTTTCAAACTTTCCTTTAACCCGGTTGGAAAGGAATCATATACTAAACAAAACTAACCAACGCAGCTTACTGAATACCACAAATCATAGAATAACAGCATGACTAAGAAAAGGAAACCAACGGTACCCAAACCGGATTAACCCAGTTTAAAACTGGATAATTTATTCTTTTGAAGACTATTATAAAGTCTAAGAAAGAAATAATAAAACACAAAAAAGTCGAAAGACAAACCCATACCACGAACAATTTACTTTTTGGAAAAAGGACATAACCAACAAGACATAAGAAAAACCACAACAAACCCAACATAAAACGTTGTCACATAACAGGACCCCTCACAAAAACCGCATGAAATCATACTCCCATTCCTGGCCTAACCCACCAGGAAGGACGTCCTGAGCATGCTCTATAGCCGGCCTAACCCACCGCGCTACATCCACGCTTTGTGACCACACCTCTATTTTTAATAAGAGCTACTCAAGTGTGAGTAACTCTTCAAAATAACCGAACTAAAACAAAAAGCTTTTGTGAAAACAACTAACTAAAATCATAATTAAAAAATATTAAACTAATAAATTCTAAAACCGCAGCTGTATCTAAATATTTTACAAGAAACTGATACAAATTCACTCGTATCAAGGCGAAGCACTGAATGTTTCGACTTCCTTTTAAGGTCTATGAAGCAGTAATAACATGAAAAAATTAAGTATAATAAAATGAATTTTTTTAAACAAAATTTCAGATTTTTTCTGAAAATTATCCCGCCACACGCCATATCAATCAGAAAGTGATAGAAATTGCTCCTAGTAACAAATCAATTGCGGCAAATAAACTTCCTTCAACCAATTCGAAGCGAATCCTAAGACGGATTAAATCTCCGCTTACGCGTTAATAGCGCGAAATATATCGCCCGTTAATTGTCCCAAATTGGCCAAAATGGCAATCGTTAAACCCCCATAGCTTTACAAAAAAATGATCAGAGGTGAAATATCTTTTCAAATTTAAGCTCAAGACAACAATACCTTTTGAATGATATAAAAAAAAGTTTCGTCAAAAATGGCTAGTTAAAAAGTCCTAATTTGAAAAAAAAACACCTCGAGCACAAATATTCCGCTACTTTCGTTACAAAACTCGGAACAACAAGAATAACCTGTTGGTGTACCAATAGCACTGAATTTTCCAAGAACAATAATATAAGTGAATCAATTGAAAATATATTCAAGCAAAAAAAACTTTCCATTTTTTACAATTCTTTTCGTAATCGGTGGGAGAATTAAAATTGATTAGAGCTAACACTACATGAAAATGCAGTAAATTTAGATAGTAAGCTCATTGTTCTTTTCATTATTTGCCGACTGTATCCTTTTTTAGACTTGAAAATTAGTCTGAAAACGGAAAGGTTCAAACCATTTTTTGTCGACGTTGAGACTGGATGTTTTGAAAACAGAAGCGAAGCTACACTTCACAAATACAAGCATAAAACGCATAAGAGATCTCCTAGATTTGGTCGTCCACAGAAATTGAACCGCTACCAGAATTAAACACTAGAAATGAACTCAATTGTCTTTGCATTTCGCTATTGTCGTAAGGTGTCAGTTTTTCCAGATCATCAAAACGCTCACTTGATCTTTTCACCTACAGACTTTTCACTGCTTGACCAATTTTGGCTGCAAAATTAGTATCAGGTGAAAATTCAGGACACAAAAAAGCCCTTGAGAGTACTCAAGGTTGTTTCTTTTACGTCCTGAAAGGGGCTGCTGAATGCTTAGTATCACACTTTGTGACTAATTCTTCATATCAAAATTTTTGACTACGGAACAGCTAGATAGAAAGATATTATATTGAAGCTTCTCTAAAAAAATGATTAAAATCATAGATTTTTTGAAAGTGAAAAGTATGAAAATAGGTAACTTGTAGTTTATGAGAAAAAGATATTTGAGTAAGTTGTAAGAAATTTGGAACCTGATCTAAACTACATTTTATGATTGGATAAATTAGATATTTTACCAATGTAAAGTATTTAATATTAACCAATCATGATCCATCTAACTAACAACCCACTTATTTGTAAGTGCTGAAGTTACTTGTAATTTCAGCACCAGAGAGATTTGAATTTAACTTAGAAATTAGTTGGACTCTCCCGAGCACTTCAGCAGCCGCAATAAACCAGTATACCCTAGATCTATTGAGCCTAGCAGAGACTAGTTAAACAACCTGAGACTAGATAGTATAAGAGTAAGATTAGGATCGGTATTAGACTAAGAAGTTGCACGAATCTATCCGGCCGAAAATAAGATAGCGTGACGAGCAGACGGTGTACCCTATCCGAAATTACTCTAGATAGTATAAGTTACTCTAGATAGTAACTCTAGATACTATGAGTTAACCAACTCGGTCCTAACTCAAATTATGAGCAAAAGATATTTGAGTAGGTTGTCAGAGCACTCTATGTAATTATTGGGAGTGCATTTTGCCGGTCTGCAATTTCTGAATGTAAGAATGGAGTCTTGGAAACTCCTCTCTGAGTTTGTTGTCGTCGTATACGTTGTAGTAAAGCTTTCCGGCTATGAGGAGGGGCAGCCAGCCTGAGGGGGGCAAGGGGCCCTGCTGTACAATCACCGGAACCACTGTCTTCTTACGCGTGTAGCTGTATTCCGCCTCGGACCTAATTCAAATCCAAAAATAAACGAGGATAGTCGGTTGCTGCATAAACAGCACCAAATGTTCTGAACTGCTGACCCCATTAACTTGAGAAAACAACAAAACAAAAAATCAAAAAAAAAAGGTTTTTCAATTTTTTTTTGTGGAAAACTGCCTGTTATTTTATTTAGAAAAGGCAATTGAATTGGGAAAAAATGCACGATTAAGAAGTAATTGTTGGCTAATAGAACGTTTAGATTATAGTAGAGTTAAATTGGGTGGTCAGCCTCTAATCAAATTCCTCTGTCAAGTTTCTGTTTGATCTAGTCTGAAAAACAAAAAATCTAGATACTTTTTCTCGTCATCGAGACTACCTTTTTTTCTTGGAATCTGAAAAATATGATACCACACTTGAGTCTCTACGAAGTTTTTTGGGGCTATCAAAACTGAAAAAAAAACATAGCTTTTATGTCCTGCGAGTGGTCGGAACAAGAAAAGGAAAATATTGTTGATGCACTGATTTTGAAAAGTTACCTGACCAAACTGGTATTCTGTATAGTACCAAAACCAGTATTAACAAGGATATCCGGTAGCTGTGCAAGTAGCACAAAATGTTCGCACCATATTCCTAAAAACTACAAAAGAGGTTTTGTTTCAAGTTAGTGTAGTTTTTTGTGCGTGGTTCGATGAAAGAATTTGAACGAAACTCTAGAATTTAGTTCTACTGGATATTCATACTAAAATAGGCATATCGGACATAGTTTTCATCGAAAAATGATTTATAAGAAACAAAAAAATGAACACTTTTTTCAAATTTTGATCAGAAACTTTTTTGTCTTTTTGAAGTTTTTTCATTCCTATGGAGATGGATTTTTAAACGTTTTTTTTGCCCGAAATTAGAATGAAAAAATCAAAAACTTCAAACCGATTTTTCTGAACACTGAGTAAATGTTTTGAAAATTTGAAAGTCGTCCGAATCACGGCTGAAAAGGCAGTAATGTGACCTATTCCGATAATTATTTGTGGTACCCGATTTTGCGCGGAAAAAAAATCTAAAACACAACCGAAGACAAAAGTTTCTCCCGATTTCAATGGTCGGAACAAAAACATAATATGTAACCACTTCAAACTTAATCAGGTACGATTTATTTAAACCAGGGGCGGATATAGGGTTTTCTCGATGGGGGGAGGGAGGATTTTCAAAAGAAAATTTCCAAAAGTTTTTTTGTCGACCTTTTCTTAGGTCGCCCCAATTTATACTCCGAGCTCTCTCAAAGCATTAAAAAAACTTTTTTGGCCAAATTTTGTGCGCCGTAGGCAAAATTTCGAAAAAGGGCCAAAAAACGTTTTTAGCACTTTTTTGGAAAATTTTGACCAAAAAGTCGCGCTTTTTCGGCGCGCGCTCTCCCTCAAAATTAGCTTATAATGGCGCCAAAGGCGCCTTTAGAAAAGTTTTATGGTCAGTCATCCAAAAATTGATGCCTCAAAAATAGTACAAATGGGGCCCTTTGGGTCAGTAGGGGTCGAATCCCTGAGGAAAGAAGACGTCTCCCCTCGCCCCCCTAAATCCTCCCCTGATTTAAACTATGTATTTCTAATCAGGACAGAAACAAATTTAATTTGAAATTATCCGCTTCTTTCCTGTGTTCGTTTGAGATATATATTTCCATGTGAAAAAGAAACAAGCACATGAATCCAAATTGCATTGCCCATTTGGTGAACTGACTGACTTTGACGCTTAATTTTTCTTTTTGATTCTCGTGAATTCGGATCATGTTCATCCGTCGCGCGGCAGTTGCGCTTCTTCAAATCTAAATATTTAGGTTGTGACCTGCAAGCCTGACTTTTGCTGTACTCATGACTGACGCAGACGATGACAGCGTAGGAGTTCTCGACCGCCTCCGCCATCCTCTGCAGAAGCGACCCCTCCATCCTCTCCACGTCCAGCCACACCGCAACACCCATCTCTCTCAGTCGGTCTCGCAACTTCAGAGCCACCGGCTGCTGCGCCCAACAGTAGCTGTAAACAACGCATCACGAATAGAACAATAATTATCATTAACATAGCCAACAGACAGTTAAAAAAGAGTCAATGAACGCAAGCAAACAGAAAAAAAATTAGTTTTGAATTTTTTTAGTTTTGATAGTTTTTTAAAGAAAAAATGACTCAATGCTCTTTGAATTTCTAAAACAAATTGAGATTGACATTTTAAAAAATAAAATTAACCCAATTTGAGGAAATTGTATCAATAGGTAAAAATTTTGTTCCAGTATCAAAGGTATTATAGAGAACAACACATATAGCAATTTACTTTTTTAAATATCCATTCATTGAGTTTTATTAATATCATTGCAATATGGCGATCATTTACGAGTAAGTATTCTTCCATCCAAGCGGAATAAAAACTCAGAAATCTTAGGGCACATACTCCAATTATGCATATTGAATTGTCTTTGAAAACACTCACTTGTCATTCAAGGCTTGTCAGTCAATATATATTTAGTTTCAGGGGGTAAACACCACCCCAAAATAATGCCTTTTTCAGAAAAAAGCCAAAAAGTGAGGCATAAGTTGCCTGCAAACCACAAAAATGCGGTTTTCGTTCTATCTGGAAAAACTGGGAAATTAAGGGTGATCTAGCAAGGAAGCCGAGAAAATGCTTTGATCAATCTAGTTCCTCCGCTAAAAACAAAGTCAACTTTATAACCATTAATCAATGTAAATTGATTTAAAGGTCATTTATTTATCGACCACCCCAGAAAGGAACTATCGCTTAAGGGTTTTTTGTCACGAAAGTGACATCGAATTTGGTATTACATTGAAGCAGTTTCAATCGTGATTCGGATTTCAAAAGATAGTTTGAACACAGGTGAAGCTGTGCTTCGCAAACACTTGCGAGAACACGACAAAAAACACCTCTTCAAAGAGCAATAAGAAAAAGTCGAAATAAGCCTCAATTTAGTTTTAAAAATCGGATTTAGTAAAAAAAAAGGGAAGGTTAGACTAATAAACTAACGTTCGCAATCTTGCTAGTGTAAAAAGGTCTCTATTCTCAATTATAACTGGTTGGAATACTTCTGTTTTTTTAGGCTAATTTACCACCAAGTCATGGACACGAAGAGTCACTCTCAGCCTACTCTAACAGCCGTTTAAACGTGTTTAAGCTTTAATTACCTACTTTTGCAGCCCATTTCGAAAACACATCTGCTTACTCATCCAGAAGTAACAAAAAAAAACACTTTTAAAAAACTCGAAAAATATGTTTTGCTTTTGCTATTTATAAGTGTGGTCGGAACATTCTGTGGTCATTGAGCAGCAACCGGGTGCATTTGTTGAAGATAAATCTCCCGACCTTATCATGACATGTTGACTGCTGTCTTTGTCGTCATTCGCCTGACTTTGCGCCTGATTTTGGCCTTGAACTTGAGTGGACCTCTGCTGCAGATTGCGTCTTCTTCTGCTTCCGATGACCTTGAAAGCGACGCCTATGAATGCGTGCAGCAGAAGAGAGACCAGGCAGAAAAAGAACCACTTGTGGATATCGGTAGCAAATGTGGATTGAGCTGAAATTTATTTAGCTGAATAACAAGTAACGAATGATTCCGTTAAGCTGCTATCAATTATATCACACGCTTAAGTGGTACGGTAAAAAGTGGCATCATATGCATTTTCGTATTTACTCAAGTAATAATCAGCGGGGAGCGAGGAAAAGTAAAATTAAGGCTGTCAAAATTTTCAATTCACAGATACAAAAACCAACCTTCTTGCTCCCCCTGGTTCTGATAGTCAGCCAAATTTTGCTTCGGATTCTTTAATCCAAGAGCATCGACAAGAGCTTCCTTGACTAAACCTGGGAGCTTGTGTCCAATTTTTGGTTTTACGACCGCGTCAGAGAATTTGGCAGTAGTTATCTTCTCTAAAACTGTGTGATAATTGTATATTGTACTTTACACTTTTTTAATATAATTTTTAACTGAAAAAGTAAGAAGATGTATTTACATTTTTCACGCTCCCTATAACTAGATCAGGCAATTACAGTGATCAATGCGAATCTTTGAGAGTAAAGAAGCTCTTTACTTTCTTAAAAACGTGTCCTATTGATGTTATTAATTTTTATGTTGCACACCTGTACCTTTATTGTCCCTTTTGATTTTTTGCTGCTGCTGTGGTGGTGTCGAAATTAATGACACTCTCTCGTTGTACGTGACATTTTTTTCAGATGATGTAAAACTGCTGGCAGAGAAGAGCAAGAAGAGCACAACTGACATGACCAAAACTGAGATTGACCCAAAATAGATCAACAACCAGTTGGATTTCTTTCTTCTTTTTCCACCCCCACCACCTGTCAAAACCAGCGTTCAAAGCAAGGAAAATAAACATGGAAAAGTTTTCAAAATCTGTCATAGTTGCTTTTGATTTGAGTGACGCAGATGATCTTATTTTAGATTTGAAGTCAGTTTTAAAATTGATTGTTCGAAAATTACAATTTTGACAAATTACTTTGGTGATTCAACTTAATTTCAAACTGAAGTAATAATCAAAGCCCGAATAATCAAAACCATAAACAAAAAAAATCCTAATGATCACAATAGTAGTAGATGTTGAGGCTAAAGTGGGGTGTTAGTTTTCATGGTTTGTGTGATGGTAAGATAATGGTAAGAAAAACAAAATTTTTTTGGTATTTGTGTAGAAATGTCTATTTTTTCGCAAAAATCTTGGCGCGCGTTATCTAATTGGGAACAATTAATTGTTAATTACGTGTAGATTGTGTAATGAAGGACTTTTAATTGGTTTTTTGGAACATGGTAAGTCAATGGTAAAAAGTTTTATCGAAAAAATTGAAAAATTTTCAAAAAACTTCAAAACACAATAAAAGTAGCTATAATTCCACCTAATTTATTGGATAATCCACTTTCTACTGGAAGCAAAGCTGAAACCTACTGAAACTTCGAAAAAAGTCAAATTTCTGAGAAAAAATTGCAAAAATTTCAAGTATTTGGAAAAAATTGCAAAAACTTCAAGTATTTGGAAAAAATTGCAAAGTTTTTCGACAAAAATTGCAAAAATCTCATAGTTTTAGTTAAAATATTGCTGCTTTTGATCTAGTTTTAAAAACATTTTTACGTATAGATTTTAAATTTGAGCTCAGACTGTATTTTAATTGGCATCAAGTTGAGACAATGATACAAAATTTTGAATGAAAAATGAATTTTTCCACAATTTTTTTCTCAAAATATTGAAATACGATAAAGTTTACCTCAATTTGAGCTAAAAAGCGGGTTATATGATGCTCTAAACACTAAAAAGAAAGCTCATAGTAGCAGAATTATTATTGAAACTTTCGGAAAACAGTGAAATTAATCGTAATTTTCGAGAAGGTAAAGTAAAAATTAATCAAGTTTACCCAAAATTTTCCCTTTTGAACCTTTTATTTTGCTAATTAACTGTTTTTTTGTCCAGTTCAGGGAGAATTTTATAGGAATCTCAATTCAAAAATGAACATTAAGAGCAGTATTCCATGAAATTTCTAGATCAAACTCCATGATTCAACTCCTCCTCATTCTTTTCTCAATGAATTACACAAATTTGTACAACAATTACAACTTGTGAGAAATTTTCCATTTTGATAATTAAAAAGTTCAGATCAATTTTCTTAAACATTTATTCGACATTGCCTCAATTTTTGAGAAATATGAGAAATTTTCCATGTTAATAATTAAAAATTTCAGATCATTGATTAGTTAATTGATCAGTTAAGAAAATGATTAGTTAACTGCTAAAATTGACTAAAAATGGTATAAATTTTTCTTAAACGTTTATTCGATATTGCCTCAATTTCAACAAACTCTTCTTCATAGCTGATGATTATCTCTCTGTTGCTACTGCAACATAATTTTCATAATTTTCCGTAGAATTTTTCTCTGTTTTAAGGTTATTCTTGGTTTCTGTTTAATACATGTTTTCGCTATTGAACACACTTTACAAAAAATTTAGGCAGAACTGGAGAATTTAGGAGAAAAATAGTATCAATTGAACGAACAATTTGCTGGCAGAGATGAAATTAGAACTGATACCGTTTAATTATTAAGATAAAAATTATAAATGTCTTCCCCGAGGTTCCCTTGTTCAGTTGCTACCGTAAACTAATTAAGCAAAAATACATAACTACCAATTTTCTTGCAAAATAGTTATTAAATCGCTTTTTATTCTTAATTTATGACGGAAGTTTTCTCAAGAATATCCAAATGAGAAAGAATTGGTGCTATTTAAAGCATTCGAATATGTATGTAAAAAATGAGAATATCAAGGTGTATTTTTAGGATTTAAGATCAAATTAAGAGCAGCTCTTTTAGTTATTATCTGGAAACCTCCGGAAATACGCGCAAGAGAACCTAGTTCCTAACATCTACAATACCTTAAATCTTCTAAAAGAGCGCGTCTCAAAAAAATGATTAAGCAAAGGAAATCAAGTTGTAAACTGGATCAATTGTATAGTTTTCCGATTTTTTTCAAGCAAGAACTCTATAGTCAAAATAAGGAAATGTAGATCTTGAAGGCAAGTTTTTGATTTATGCTTCATGTATCATCTTCCAAAAGAAGTCGGATTGGGTTTTTTTTTAAATTATCATCAAAACATCTGATTTTTTTTTTGGATAAAGTACCTAATATATCAAATGATAACAAGCTTTTCTAATGAATTACGCATAAAAACAAATCTTTGAGAATTGTTATGTCGGATTTTTTCTCGAGATATACTTTATAAGCTAAATTTTAGTAAAAATATCACAAAATTCCTAATGAATTAAATTGAGTTTCTATCTCATTTTAGCATTTTCTCAGTTTCTTCTTCATCTACTATCATACAAATTAATCCAATTTGAACAAATTTTTACATATTGAGTTTCAGATGGAAAATGTATCGTTTCAACGAACATTCAACAATCCGAAGCAGAAATAATATCATAAATCCTTTGCTAAAAGTCTTTAAATGATTTTCTCAACCTCATAACTGTATAATACTATTTTTTAATCTGAATTTCTTTTTTAGAGTAAATTTTTATTTGAAAATAATATATATCATTATCTTGAAATTTTCAAAGTTTTGCAAAAACATTTATTTTTTCATTTTTTCCACGTCATTTATCAATTTTTTTTCTGAAATCATCAAAAAAAACAATATAAAACCAGAATTCTTAATAAGTCAAACCCCGTTGTCTGCTTAAAAAAGCTCTACTCTATGAACACTTTTACAAGCACTAAACAAGGGAAACTTTGAAATAATAACTACACAAAACCTTTCAAATAGTCGATGTCTTACAAATATCCAAGTTTTACAATTTTTAAGCAAATACTTAACTACTCATTGGCATATGTTATGCACTTTTACTACAAATATATCGCAACAAAGTCTCCGCAAGCTTGCAACCAATGGTGTTTTTACTGTTGATTAAAGATTTTCGGATCGAGTCTTAGGGAAAGTTTCACGACGATTTGAACTCGATTTTTGCTGTCTTCATCATCAATCCAAACCTTTGAATAAAAAATAAATGACAGTTCAGGTATTGTGCTGAAAACACTGTATAATTTCTGATTAAATTTATCACAGTTGTTTAGACTTTTCAGATCCAATAAAAACTAATATTCAGAGTAATTTCTATGTTTTTATTAAAAATGATTAACTTTTACTTTCTCTTGAAGTGAGTTTGGAGACTGCTGAGCGCATAATTTAACATTATGCTGACAATGCTTTTTCTTGAAATGATTAGTGAGTTCCTCACTGCTATAAGTAGTAAAAGTTACAGTTAGAACACTTCAAAACACCACAGGTTCTAAGATGTCTTCATGCGTGTAAGCGAGTGTATTCTCTGCCACATTCAAGACATGCAACTCTTTCGTTTCTATTCAGTGACGGCATCTCAATAAGTAAAAAAATTAAATGGAAGGTTTAAAATGTACCAAATTTTTTGATCAGATGAGTTGAAAAGCCTCAAAGAGTGAATAAAAGTGAATCAAAAAAGCAAAGTTATTAACCAATTGTTTTTAACGTGAAAGAAAATCAGAATGGATGTGCTATTTAGCCTAGCTGAAACAAAAATCATCCAATCTAACCATGGAGTTTTCAAAAGTTTTGCTATTAACTAATCAGAATCGAGCATTAATTATAAGGAAATTTTTATCTTTTCTGATATCAACCAATCAAAATCGAGCTTCAATAGTCATGGAATTTTCAACACATTTAATGCCAACTAATCAGATTTGAGCTTCAATAGACATGGAGTTTTCAAGAAAATTAATGTCAACCAATCAGAATTGAGCTCTTAAATTTTTCAACAATTTTGATATAGTTTGTAGATAATGAGGATACCTTCACAGGCAGTATTTGTAGTAATAACCAATCAGAATGAAGTGTTCACATATTTTAAAAAACTTTGTAGATCAGAACCAAACTATGTTCATGAAACTTTCTAATCAATCAATTTTATTGAATTTTTCCAACATAACTAAGATATGAAATTTGATACTTTAGTGAGATAAATGAGATAAATGAGAATTCTTGTCTGGTTTATATTGTTTTTTCGATAAACAATTCAAATTTCAAAATTTCGATCAAAATTTTTTCGATTTGTTCTATTTCTAACCAGTGAACAAAAAAATTACCAAAATATACCTTTTTATCACTTTCTTATTGTATCAAATTCAAAGCAGTAATCGAAATGATGTTCTTTATCTCCAATTTTTGTTTCATAGGCTCTTCCATTGTTTTGTTTTTGACTGATAGACCACTGAATCTGGCTTAAATCTTCTAGATAGAAACTCATTTGATAATTGGGAAACTGGAAAACTCATTTGAGAATTGATAATTGAGAAACTCATTTGAGAAACTGGAAAATCATTTGATAATTGGTTGGCGTTTTATGTTAATTTCGATTAAAATGTATGTTTTGTCTGACTTTTCCTCAGATATTATAGCTCTAAATATACCTCCAGTTAGAAAAAAAGTTTTGAACCAGTAATATTACAATTACCAAATATGCAAAACATCACAAAGCATTACTGAGGTTCAAAATTATCATAAAGTTTCTAAAAACTTGGGACAGTTCTATGAATTCAATCAAAGTATAAATGACAGAGGCAACTTGTTTCTCATTGCGTCATTCTCTTTTGTAGTGAAGAGTCGAATCTGAAAGTAGGGAGGCTTGTTCACACTGTACTTCTTGATTGTGACAGACACCCTCCTCATGTTGTATGTTGCTATTTCATATACTCTATTACAGATGTCGAGCATCTGATACATTGTTAATTCTTTGCCAGATTTTGCTTCATAAATAGGCACGAGTCCAA